GAGGAATACTTTAGCTTGAAAGGTTGCGAGTGGGATTGAGATTCACTTTATAACTAAGTATATTTTGTAGTTTTAATAACATGATGTAAATGTGCTAATAACCTGTTACATCTACCAATATTTTTTTTCTGGAGTATCTATGTCTTTTCACATATCTCTTTTTTAATATAAGTGAGGACATTTCTAGTTGAATTATACATTAAATGAAACAGAGGTTGGAAGAAAATCCTTATTTGGCAATGTGATTTTCTGTTTTCTGTTTTGCAATATTGAAGTGGTTAAGGGCATTCATCTTCGATGCTCTGCACACAGGTGTGTTTGAGTCTTTAAATAATCTCACATTGCAATATAGTGATACTGTATACATACTCTATGCATGTGGATGGTTACATACAGTACTTCTCTCAATAAACAATTCAGAACTGAATGGCTTGTCAGGGTGGTAGGCAGATTTGGATGCTTAGCAAATGACTTGTATGACTTAAACAAGAATACAGAGAGATTGGATGTTTAAAAAGCAGCTTTAAATTTTTGCTTAGGAGGAGCCCATATGATCTTAAGATTCACAAAAAAATCTCAAAAGAATTATGTCAATGTTATTGAAATCAAAACATACAAAATTGTATTTGCTTAAGGGCAATTATATATGGTACTTAATATGTTATAATACAGTATGCTTTTACTTAAAGGTATGTACAGTAGCAAAGAGTGTATCTTTTATAATGCACCTTACATGCTTTATGAAGAACAGCAGCTGCCTTCTAAGGATTAATCTGGACTAATGGAAAGAACATCTACTGCTAGATCAAGCAGTAATCAAAATATCTTCTTGCAAAATCACAGGCTTTTTTTTTCTTTCAAAGATCAATAAACAGTGTTGGACAGAAAAGAAGCTGTGAGCTACAATTCCCGGATCACATATTCTGACTTTCAGTGCACTTTCCTTGTACGTTGTCAATAGGCATACGGTATTCACCAATTAATAGTAACTGAAAACTTCATTGTGGGATTCTTCTCTTTGGTGAGTCTTTATGATTTCCAAATGAATTACCAGTTTAAGCTTGATTTCTTTTAATTGATTTTTACCGTGTTGCACAATTGCATAAGCAATGATGTTAAATATGAATTGCTTTGCCTTTCAACAAAATCTAGTACTTTAGACATAAAATTTCAGAAGGAGAGTAGTAGTAGGGAAAATACAGTATATAAAGCATAAGCATTAAAACATTAACAGTGTTCTGCACATGGAAAGTGAATTCATTAAAGAGAAAAAAATAAAAACAATATTGATAAAATATTATAGAATACTGCACACTTAAATACACAAATTGCAGTTTTCAGCAAAATGAGCCAAACTCAGTTATGTTGTTGTGTTGTGATTCAGCAGATGCCATTCTGTAAACTTTTGAAAGCCATAGATTTTATTATCATTCTGAAATATGCTTCTTTACAGATATTTAAGACACATACACTATGTGGATTCAATTCCATCATTGGTTTTCAGCTTTAAAATGTACCATAACTACCTGAAGTTCTTGACTATGTTTCAATATGTATGGCTGAATAACATCAGAGTAAGACCAGGTCTTTTTGGTGTTCCATGGATAGGTAAAAACAGCATTGTCTGCCTTTACAAAGGAATAATCTTAAATAAGCAGGACCATATTACTGATCAGGCCAAGACTAAATAAGGTTAATTCTATTCTCCTTTGTGCAACATTCACTGATTCACCTGAAAGTGTTAAAAAGCCACATTATGTATTTAGTGAATGGTCATGGGCAGTCCTGCTTACACACCTGAAATATTAATAACTGTAGCATTTCAATTTAGACACTTAGAAACATAAGAAAATTATGTTTTGTGAGAGGATGAGAACAATGAGAGGAGGACACAACCAATGTTGGTTTCATTGCTCAAACTTTTGTGATATGAGGATCTGAGGAATTTTTTGAAGATTGCTAGGGAATCTTGTTCAACATCATGGCTTGCCAATTTCTTTTAGACACCCACCACACTTTGTATTAAAAAGTGTCTTCTGTTATTGATCTCAAATATACCTCTTCATAACTTTTGGTCCTGTCCTTACACTGCTGAGCATAATGTAATTCATTGGGTTGAATCTGTCAGTACCTTTCAGGATTTGGATACTTACAGTAAATGTAATACCCTGTACAGTAGTTTCAGTCTGCTCAAGATTGAAGAGATTCAATTATTTTCATCCTTTTGCGTATGACATTCCTATCAGCATGGGGATTATTCTGATTGCTTTTCTTTGATCTCTTTGTAAAGCAGCATTGTTCATTTTATAGTCTAGTTTCAACAAGAGAAATTTGAAAAACCTACATAAAGTTCCAGATATATGAGATGAGAGGTTTTAGCCACTTGATGCTTCACGTGATCATGTACTGTTTCAAAACATTATTAAGGTGAGCAATAAAACAGAGGCATACAGGAATCATACAACTGTCAATGGAAATACATAAAATTAGCCATTCATCTCCACCTAATTGAAATTAATGTTGAGTGTTCTTGCCTAATAATTGTCAAGACTGACAAATTCAATCTGGCAGCCAACTAAAAAGACTTGACCTTGGGCTCAGAATCTTCAGTAATCAGGGGAATAAAAATCTATATTTGTTTACTTATTTTTTAATCATTGTCAGATTAGATCCAGATGTACAGTATACCAAGTATATATCAGACAGTTGTGTTTTGATTGCACTGAGTTTAAAGCTGTTTAAATCCGTAAAAAGGAAACATTCTACAGATCTCTTAAAAAAACTGTCAATTGGAATTTCCTGTGTGTGAAATGGCTCTTGAATTTGGAAGTTTTGCATGGAAAACATGGAAGACAATCTGATGTCGTAGAATATTTCTCAATGCATTATTTAGAGCGAGTGATAGAGGCAAATTGAGACAATCAAACCCTTGAAAATATATTTGTTGAAATTTTGAGTCTCTTTGAGGTCACTGTTTTTATTGTTGCAGTTTTGTTTTGATATAAGGTCCAGCATTTTCTTTTTTATTGCATTGTGGCAAAAGTTATTTTTCTTATAACCCTTGGCCTTGTCAGTTCCCCTCTACCTAGCTAAAGAAGATATAAACATCATTGGGAGGTTAAGGAACATGGGTATTATTAAACATGAATCTGCTCAAAGCAGAAAACTAATCAACAAAAGTGCCTACGGGCAACACAGTCTAGAGATCTGTAATCTAAAAATACAAGCAAACATCTGACAGCTAGAACAGTGTGCTACCAGAAGGCACAGTGTGGCCGCTAAGGACATTTAGCCTCTAGGAAAGCAATCAAAGAGTTGTAGTAGTAAGCTATTTTTTAAAGCTGCTTTTTAAGACAAAGGAAACAGTTCAATTGCCTCACAAACAGGAATATGAGAAAACAGAGGAGGAGTAGGAGTAGGCCACTCTTCCCACCATCATAATCATCAAGTTTCTAATAGCTTCTGGTTCCAATAACCTCACCAAGCTGTTTTTGAAAAACCTTATAAAAATTGCTTCCACAAAATGACCTGTTTTTTTTCCCTTTGTACATCCTGCATTTAACATAAATAATATGTCACATATCCTCAGCTCTTAATCTGCTTAAATTAAAAATAAAACAGTAACAGTATTATTTGTTCTAGCTACAGTATATTACAGTGAATTCATCCTTTTGTTAGTATTATTTGCATGATGGATTGGTTTCACAGTTAAGAGATATCAAACAATATAATGTACTATCAGTCAGTATGTAGGTGAGGCTTAAGTGTCTGTGTCTCATAAAAAAGGGACCATAGACAACAGGATTGACATGTTATTGAAAGCTACATATGCATTTACTGTATGCCTAATTTTAATGTTTGTATTACCATCCATGGATAATTAACTTTTTAAAACATGAGCAACGCACACTCATATGTGTATATGGAGAGATTAATTTCCAAGTAAATCCATGGATGTAGGTTTCCTGTGTTAGAGGAAGATGTCTCTTCTTATTCTGCAGTGATGCAATGGGATAAGGAGTTTAAATATTGCAAAGAACTGATCAAAAGTTGACCTCAGATCTGGAAAACCCTCAGATGTGACTTGACCAGAAACAAGCTCAATTGCAAAAATAATGATTACATCAAATGCCAAATGAAGGTTGCAGAATTTCCAAAAAATGTTGGCATTTCAGCTAAAACCATTCACTAAGAACATCTTGTCTGGAACCTTGAGATTAAACTGAATCAGTACAGTGAGAACACCCAGTATCCGCCTCTGAACAATTTCTGTTGCAATGCCTCAGATGGCAAGATTTTGGCTAGCTTCATCTAGGATTCACAAGGGGTAGTGTTGCTCAATTTTATCCAACTAGAATAAGGCTGAACTTACAGTTGACTTACTGGTCTAGCATCAAAAAGCCATCTGTTAAACCCACCAGGGGATGTTGACATTTTGTTTTCTAATACATAACATTAGTGTAATTCACAAGGCCAGGTCTGCACAAGCTGCAAGGAATCCACTCTACAGTTCTGAGTAACTATTACTTGTTCCAACATTTGAAGAATACACTGCATGGTATCCAGTTTTAAGATGATAATTTCTTGAAGTCTGTCTTTTATCAGTGGTTAAAAAAAGTAGTCAGAGAGTTCTATTGCCAGGGAATTGTTAGTTTGAAGAATATATGTTCCAAGAGGTTCAGGATGAAGAATCATTGAGAAATGAATTAGTGAAACGGATGATATTTTGTTTCTGTCTTCCTGAGTTGCAAAACATTTTGAAAACATTTCTTTATATGAACTAGAATGGTTATAATTGCTTTGTTTAGAACACCTTAAACAATCAGAACAGCAAATATTTTTGATGAACAGGACTTATTCTCTATTAAGTTAAGTTTTATGGTAATTTTTCATGATTATTAGAGACATTAAAACTTAATATTCTGCATAGCCAAATTGAATTATGTTGTTATGAATTGCATTTTCTGGACCTACTTCCTTTTATGTTTCCTTTCACTCAGCTCTTCTAGTAGCAGCAGTTATCCTGGGTCTTCTGGCACTTCTGCATCTCTTGGGATTGTACCTATATAGGTAAGCTTTTGAAGAGATTTAGTTTTCAACGGTCTTTTTAAAACTCTCTTTATGTATTAACTCTGAGCCAGTTTTCCGATATTTCTGTATGATATACATTCCATGCAGCACATTGCTGAAAAAACACATCTTTATTTTTTAGCTAATATAGTAGATGTATTTGTAGATGTACAGTATCAGTACCCTTTGCCTTATAAACGTAGTCAGTGTTAGTTTACTAGGTGTATTTAAAACTGTTTATATACAGTATATTCATATTATTTCTACCTCTTTGAACAGTCATTCATCCTAACAAATTACAGTTACAGTACATAGTTAAGATGTTTTTTTATAAATGCTAATTTGATATACAAAAAACTTAAACATACTGTGCATGTGCAGTTTTATGTGCATTTATAGAGCACATTTATTAGAGCAAGCTCCTAACCATTTAAAAAGCATTTACAGTGTTCCCTGAGTCAATTTCAGGCTATTTACACAATATTTATCAATATATTTCAAAGTTTTTTGATAAATTACTCAATACTATACATTTTCATCAGAAGTATCAGGAAGCATGCCAGTAAACATTTATCTGATAAAAATCAGGTTAATTCTCATAGTACTGTATGTGTTCAGTTACCAATAGCTTAATCATTTAATTGCTTTTTTATTTTAGCTGATCAGTGAAAAATAACTAACAACCTTTTACCATGTGATGTCAAAGGATTTATTTAAACCTAGTTCATGAACAAACTTCACAAATAGCCACTGATTTAATATAGTTCAAGTAGGTACAGTAGCTGCGTCAGCATGTGTAGGCTGCAAAGGAACAGGTAACGGGTTGCTGAAAAGAAAGGAAACAAAACTTTTTGGCTTTGGCGCCTTCTTAAGGTATATGACTCACATGCCTTTTATACATTTGTTTCAATATAGGATTTCTTATTATACAGTGATGCCCCCTCAACACATGACACTTCTACCCCATTCTTGTTCCCCTTCCGAAATAAGCTGTTTCTGTCACTTCAACCAGATGCGTTATTCTGGGATTTTTTATTCACATACTGTAACAGATGTACTGTATAATACAGTGTAACTGATGGGTAACTGCTGCAAATCCCAGAGAGCATTTTTGATTTGTTATTTTCTTGTTGAGTGGTGCGTAATATTTAAATCTATTAGGGAATATATTTTTATTTACCAAGGGTTTTGTCATCAGAAATTACAGTGCACTCCCAAACAACAGCTGCATGTACAGTATTTCAAGCTGCAACCATTTCTCAGTTCATAATATTTTCATTTTGCTCACATCATTTGGCTGCAGTTTTTGAAGTTCAGTCTTCTGAAATTAATAGTTACCCAGGATTTATTAGACAGTTCTTGTAAAATGAGTAGAGTTTCCAAAATATGAACATTCTTTCTGTTTTTACCTTTCGTTTCTAGATGTGTGAGTACAAATGAAAATTGGTTTACATCGTTTCAGGGACTGAGCTAAAACAAACAAACCTTTACAATGACTCGTTTACAGTCCCATTATGGTTGTTGCTCTCATCATTAAGGTTTAAAATACATTTTTATTGCTTTATTTTTTTTATCTACAGACAGCAATGGATACGGCACTACATCAGCCAGTGTTTCTGCAAAAACAGAACAGTAAACAGTGTAAGTTCCACTCCTTTTCACATCTTTTTTTAACTGAGTCCAAGTTCTTCTACAGAGCTGTTTTTTAATGATAAAATACTGAAGTATCTATACATAGCTGAATATGGAACAGGTACAATATATGAATAATGTGAACAGTTACAGTAAAATGATAAACAGAGTTTTCTTATTAGTGGCAAATTAGTGGTCTCCGTATTAAGATAAATCACAGTGAATGTTTGCTAACAATGGTAGAAACTACAGTTTTCTGTTAGGGCAAAGGAAGTCCAGATATTTAAGGCATGCAAATAAGAGATTTATAACATAATGTAAGAAGACACAAATTAGCTGACGTTATTATAGTCAAGCAGAAGAATACATAGAAATGGTACTGCAGAATACTACTAAAACTTTCTCTGACAGTCTCCACTCCTCTTGCAGAAAGGGAGGGGGTTGTTATACACTAAGTACATAGGTCAAAATGTTCATAAATCAAAACAGTTACCATTTGTTCCGTGGGCCTGGTTTTCTTCTCAGATTTGTAAAACGTACTTGAAACATCTCATAAACCCTGATAGTAGTAATGTATGGAATGTATTTGGTATAAAATCACTTCAGCCTTCTTATATGCGTTACATAAAATATACATTGTGTTACATATTCTTTTAAGTATTTTTGTAGTTTTTAGTCTTTTACATTGTGTCATCTTTAAAGTTCTTCAATAAATGTCTAAGTCAATTGGCAATCATTTCTTTGTAAAAATCTTGAGCACTTTTATTCTAAATAAATCTTAGGTAAATTTGAGTCTCTATGATAGAGTTTAAAGATCAATACTTAACATTTTCACAAAGAACATCTCTGTCCATTTTCACTAAGGCATTTTTATTCTTAACCAAAGCTTCCTTTAAACAAATTAAAAAATATATCAACTCACTATTCAAAAGGTATGTTTAAAATACTGGAACCACAACATTAGTGTCAGGCTGGAACAGTCCATTAAATTCTATTATATCAGCTGAGTAAATGTCATGCTGTTACCTGCTACATTATTTTTACTTAATAAACTGTTTCCATTTGTATATGGCATTAACAGTGACACTCTTCAAAATGTCATTTATTCAGTCTACAGTATATGTAATACAAAATGACTTTATGGTGACAAAAGCAGTAATATGAAGAAAATGCACAGGTACTGATTGCTTCATAGATCATTGTTGTTACTACATGGAATATTTGATGCCACTATCATAGTGTAGACTTTTGAATTCTGATTTGTTTGGTAATTTTGTAATTTAGAAAGAACTGAACAAGTACAACATTAAAAGATGACATTTAATTTACTGAATGTCATGTTTTTGTACGTTTACTCATGTATACTGTAAGCCTATTGCCATGGTCAGACTTATTTTGTACTTAAGGTCTCATTTAAAATGTGTCTAAAAATAATATGAGTTATTATTATAATGTCCATTCTAAAGTTCAAGAAACTGATGCTAATTCTGTTCTACTTGCAAATAAGAGAATCCTGCTTGTGAAATGTCATTTTTAAAAGTCTCTCCAAATACTGTATAGTATATACATGTTATTTTCATTGACATTTGGTGATCTGCTTACAAGCTTCTTTATAACACAGTTTATTTTCAATTTTGATGAAGACAGTCACTATTTTCATCTTTTTTATTGTAATAATGTGATCAGAACTCTTATCCTGATATGTCTGTTACACCCATTTATCCTGTGGAGTTCTGATGTAGGGGCCTAATATCGCACAACTCCACATCAACAATAAGCATCTCTCATTTTTCTGAGGCTGAGGTATCCATCTCCCATCTGGCTGTCTGCAGTGACAGAGAGATCCATCAGAGAGAATTAGGAGCATGGCATCTTCCTGCTCTGTTTCAGCTCTGTAATTCAATCTGAGAAGGACCAGAGGCCTGGCTCTAAGAGTCTTCTTCAGAATCAAATGAAGTAGTGACTGTACTTCCCTCCACTACAATATTATTATGCAGAACTTCCTCTTAACAAATAAAAGCACATATTGTCTAAGAACAGTTATCTCTGTTATACAATACAAAAGAATATATGCTTTCTTGTTTGTTTTTTATTTTGCCTTTTCATTTAAAAAATGTAATGTGTTCAGGTGTTCATGTGTCTCCATTCATACTCTAGCTGATTTTGGCAGGAAGTAATATCTTCCTTGTCAAAATATTTTTTTTTAGAACTTATTCATTGTTATAAGATTGGGCTTAAGTAAAAAACTTTAAGGCTACACAAACATACAATGATAGACTATATAAGGAACCCGAAAGGCTGAAAATAGAAGAAAGTGTACTCTGTTGTCAGATATGAAATACGTACTGGACGGTAACATTCTTCATTCTACATTTAATCTTTGTATACTGATTAAACAGTACATTATTATTTTGCTTTGTATTTGTGAGGAATTTAGAGTCACTAGCCATTAATGTATTTCCCCTGTGTATTTTTGTCTGCTTTTCAAAGAGTATTCAATTATATAATTCAGGGTAAAGGGATAATGACACGTACAGTACAATCACCTCATGCTCTCAAGATTTTGACTGGTCTCAGGATCAGCCTAAAAATGCTCTGGATTTACGAATGTGACTATTTAACCTTTTTTCAAACATTCTCTCATTTCTGTTGCTCGCAACTGCAGAAGTAGTAAAATAACTCAATTTTTTTAGAACAGATCAACAAATAACAATGGGGGAGCTGATGAGACAAAAGCTAAATCATCTCGTCTTCGTTCTTTGGACACATTTAGAGGGTGAGTAACTCCTCAGGCTTGCAGATATGATAATCCCTGTAGGGAATACCCCAGTTAATGATTACATGGGGAGGAAATCTTTAATCTTTTTAAGATCTGTGGGGACGGAGCGGTAGCACTGTGGCTAAGGATTTGCGCCTGTGGCTGGAAGGTTGCCGGTTCAAATCCCGGGGCCAGCAGAGGAAGCTGTCTCTGTTGGGCCCCTGAGCAAGGCCCTGAACCCCACCTGCTCCAGGGGTGTTGTACAATGGCTGATATTGTGCTCTGACCCCAAGCTTCTCTCCCTGTCTGTGTGTCTCATGGAGAGCAAGCTGGGGTATGTGAAAAGACAAATTCCTAATGCAAGAAATTGTATATGGCTAATAAAGTGATCCAAATGTGTTTGGTGCAGAATAGGTGTGTATACATAAGGTCAGCTTAAAGAAAAGTTAAGGTCACAATAAGATCTCTCGTATCCTATTTCATTTTTTTAATTACCTAGTAGGCTCTCATTTCATTTCATCATTTCATATTATCATCCGTTAAAAACATCCTGAATAATCACATACTGTACAATAGCAAAATTATTAAACCCCTGCTAATAATAACACATTTTGAATAATTACAAGTAATGCATATATTTTTTCAAATGAACTGTAAAGGGGGATGAGTGATGTTTTGAAAAAGATAAGGAAATGTACCAACTGTATAATTATTCAAATACACTAGCGCTTGTTGCAAGTATTTTATGTCAGCAATTACTGCTATCAGTTTTTTTGGGAGGATAGGTCTCTACTGACTTTGAACAATCAGATTTTTGTCCTGGAAAATCAGATCCAGTTCTGACAAGTTCAATATGAGCTGTGACAGAGACTGCTAAACTTATTTTATGACCATTCAAACTATTCTTGTGCACCTAAAACCATTTAGCGCTTGAATTACCTACAGTATGCAATTGATAATCTGCTAATTTTCTTCAGCAATCTAATTTATTTTCACACCATCAGTATTTTAACTTTACCAGTTTGGAAGAGATTACATAGAAACAAAATATAAAGTCCTATTTTAAAAGATCACGTTTGCAAGGTCAAGTGGCAATTAAATGTGGAAACTATGCAGGAGGGGAAAACTCTCGCATACTGTCGTACTATATACAGTATTTGTATCAGCATGGCTTTGTATTATGACTTTCAGATGCCATACTGTAGCTGTACAAGTGCTCATTTCCAATGACGCAAGCAGAGAAATGATAAATAACTTCTAGCAGTATTTCTTATAAAAAGGTACAGAAGTCAATATTTTAAGGTCCGATGGGATATGTGACCTTTTCTTTTAGTAGTACAAGAAATGTCTCCTCAGTGGCAAACATGTGAACTCAAAGTCTACGATATAAAGCTTCAGGCACCTCAACTTTACACCTGCTCATAACCTGTGGCTGACACCATTCACATTGTCAGCTTAGTCTGTAAACAGTTAAGATAAATGTGGATGTAGAATTTTTGTTTGCAACATTGTCTGAGGCATGTGCAGAGAAATGTGTGGATTTTTAAAACTGAAATGTTACGTATTACAACACGTGTAATATGATAACATTTTTGTACTCTTAACTACAAAAACATGCCGTTAAATTAAATTTGCTGTTTAAATACAAAGTACTAGTGATAAAATGTACAATTGTTTTTTCAAAGATATTGCGTCATTTTGAAGTGTTGCAATTTCTTAGACTCTGGGTATACTTTTCTGCAACTATTTGATATGAAAAGCATAATTCTTACACTTATCAAGGTAAAAGTACGAGGATGGGACATTACTTAGGGTAATGAATATGATATACTGTACTGGATTTTACCCTCTAACAGTTAAAGTTCAGCAGGATATATATCTGACTTTCATGTGCATTGTGTGATGAATAAGCACGGGGTTCACTGTCTGGCTACAGTCATTATGGCTTTGGTGGTCAAACACTAGCTTTGGGCATCTTTTCTAATATCCTTAGTTGCTGTGGTTTTAGAACAATGAATTCCTGTTCAAAAACAGTGATGAGATTGAATATCACATCCCAGTGTTGTTTAATTGGGTCTCAGAGACAGACGCAGAGCACACTTTTTAGTTACAGGAAGCTTGTGTCAGTTTGACCTCCCTGTTGCCGCCTGAGTAATTGATATAATAAAATAAACAATATATCAGTAAACATTCGGCAGGCAAGGAAGCTGGCTTTTCAGCTAACTGAGGAGACCTGATGAGTGATAAGCTAGGGTTGGCAGTATGTCTGGTGGACAAATTGGTAATCTGTGAGTGCCAGGAGACAGAATTCCTTGTGACAGTGGAGGGTTTGTTTTGGGTTCTGATTCTTTTTGTATGGCAGAGAGTGTTGTGAAAATGTCTGCTAACAGTAGAAAAATTGACACAGTGAAACCTCTAGCAGGCTATACTGACAGCTCTTTATTACCTCCGTCATTATTTAATTCAGCTGTTTTTATCAGAGTGTGTTTCTGTAACGCATCACTCTTCCTGGTGCGTACAAGGCTGAACATTGCCCAAGTCAGACTTACAGTTAAAACTTACAGATATAAAAAAAGATATCAAAGATCCACCTCAAAGTTTTTTTTTTCTTTGCACTGTCACTGTACTTTAAATTAATTGATTGTGATCTTCAAAGCAATCATGGTGGTGGATTTCTTGCCATTTGCATGTATGTCATGAAACAGAACATCCCAAGGTGACCAACAGTAAGACTGTAAAATGATGGGTGGTCAGCATTTTGACCTGAAATAATGATATCAGCTTTTATTGCTCAGAAAGACATTAACATTCATAATTTTGTAATTCATCTGAAGCTTTACTTAAAGGGTATACACTGATATTGTTATTATTAATACAATTTTCAGCCTTAGGCATTCTTCTGTTTTACGTTTGGCTGAATGCAAATTAAACATTCCTGGGACCGCACTTGCTGCCCTAACTACTATGAAAACAGTCCAGAAGAAAAAAGCAATCTGCATGAGTCCACTACTCAGGCAGCTTGAGCAGCAATTGTTTTCTTGTGATGTTAGATTTATAGTGTGGTGGTAATGCAATACAAACCAGATCTTAGCCCCAAATCCCAAGACTTTAGAGCAAAGTATGTTTCAGAAGCTTGTATTGCTTCCAACAATGGGCTGAACTCAGATAAACTGTGACTGTGACTTAAATGCGTTTAGAAAAGCAGAATCCTCAGCTGTCCTTTAACACTAGATCTGCAGTGTTTCCGAATAATACCGAGAAATGCATGCTACAACTCTAGTAGTTAGAAGGATGGCATTTTGGGTAAATCTCAGTTTTGCTATGAGTGCCTTATGATTTGTAGGGTTATCTTTTGTGCTCTGGAAAGAAGCAACATTAACTTTATGAATTATTTTGAATTATAATTTTTTGGATGGAGAGAAGAAGCACAGGGCCACCAAGGACATCAGTGTAAGGAAGTGAGGTTTTGACATCACTGTAGACCCCGTTATTAGCAGAGACAATGGCAGCTATGGGAGATAGATATAACAACTGCTTTTAATTACACCCAATTACCTCATTAACATCCTGCCAGAGTTAATTGGTTTAATTTTAAGTTATAGTGCACCAAAAGCACATTAACGATGTATAGCACTCTGTAATCTGAATGGACACAAAATAAATCAAGTGAAGTCACTGTTCAGGACCTTGTAGACTGCATCACAGAGAGGAAATTATTAATTTATGAAATACAAAGGCAAGGATAATTATATGTAAATGTTGTCTTCTCATTTTACCAGTACTCCTCAAAGATCATGCCAGTTAGTAATTAGTGTAGCTAAGAGAATAAATGATTTACCACGATGATTAGAATTTCCTTTTTCGGCGTTTGCAGGTTTGCATGTACTGTACATTTACTGAGATACACACTACTCTCCCAGTAAGAGCTAACTCTCCTATGGAACGCATTATGCAGTTTTTTTTTTTTCTGGTGGGTTTGACTGCATGTTCTCATTCTCCCCAAGAGTCTTTCCTGGAATGTTGATTCTTGAAAAATCTGCCAATTCAGAAATAATTGGAAGGATTTAAAAAACAAGGTCCCAGTAGGTTATCAGATTTTAGAATGCACGATCAATATGAAAATGAACAAAAAGCATTCAGTAAAGAAGCACTCATTGAATACAAAACATGGTAGATCTCATCCTGATCAAACAAGGCTTATTTCACTTTACTTCTGATTATTTTTCATACTAGTTATGAGGTGGGACATTGTACCATAACATGTGAAGATACTATACTGTAGGGGGACAGTACAGTATATTACGATAGGCTGTGTTCCTATTTTACTTTTTATTGTGAATATTTTGTTGTTGAAACTTTTAGAATCCTCCACTCTTTCTGCTTTGTAGTACTAATTAGCTGATGCTAATAAATCAATAGATAGAGCAATGTACGGTGATAAATTTATATTATGATACGACTCTGTTTTTGTTTTTGACTATTGTTTAGCAGTATACTTTGACAGACATTCCTCTTTCATTTGTACCACATTAGACTGTCAGAACAAAAATCTGAGTACTGACATTTACTGCTATTTACTAAATGGAGTTCAGTTTGAGGCTGCTGTTCATCATAGACTCAATGTTTGGCTTCGCCGTTTTGTACTCTTCAATGACATCTCATTGAAGCAGGATTTTTTCCACACCACTACAATATTCTAGCCTTTGTTAAGTGAAGCCTGTGGTATTCTCATTTCCCAATACTTGGGTCATTGTACTGTCCTTTGGAAAGACAGCAGTTGTTATATTAGCTGGAATGAGTATGGGTCGCGATAAAACCAGCTGTAAGCTGATGGGTCATGACCACTGTCATTCATTAATCGCTGCCTAAGCAGCTCATTTCCTCATTATGTCTAATATATTTAAATTAAATTTAGCAGCTCTATCATTTTTCTGTTTCCCATGTCCTTGTTTAATCAGCTCACAGATAAATCTCATAAGAGCAGCACAGATACTACTAGATATCTCAGCAGCAAAAAG